AGGTAGTTGGTCTGGCAGGGCGGCCAGGCGACGCCGTCGGCCGGCCGCAGCGACTGGAACGGCGGCAGCGAATGGCCGTAGTTGCCGGGCGGTGCGGCGGCCGGGCCGGCCGGCTCGGCCAGCAGGCAGGTGGGCGAGCCGCGCACCGGGCCCACGCCGTCGGTCACCTCCAGCGGGAACGGCGACGCCGAGAGCGGCCGCTTCTGGCGGCGGCCCAGCTCCAGCGAGCCGCGCGGCGTCACCAGCGGACTGAGCGAGAGCGCGTCGCTCGGGCGCCGCGGCTCGGCCAGCTCCGGCTGCCAGCCCAGCTCGGGCCGCGCCTCAGGCTGCAGCAGCGCGCCCAGCAGCGAGGCGGCGTCGTCGGGCAGCTCGAAGGCGCGCAGCGGGTCAGCGGCCAGCGCGGGCGACAGCTGCTCCTGCAGCAGCCCGGCCGTGTCGTGCTCTAGGTGCATGGTCAGAGACGCGCCGGCTGCCCGGGAGCGGGACGACGGGTCAGTGTCGGCACAGCTGGCCAACACCGGGTCAGCATCCGTCAAAGGTCAGAAGTTCGGGTCACGAGGTCGAGCAACGGGTGGGGAATGCTAGCGCGGAGACTGAAGTGTGTGCGTTCCGAGAGTGATCCCTGAATAAAGAAAGGTCTGGAAACCGTTTTACCTTTTCTTTGTTTGTGCTTACTCACAGACTATTTTTAGATGTTGGTCTTCTATACCACTCGTCGATGCTGCCACACTACAGCCATGCACCCGGCTTAGGATACAAATGGTCCTGAATTCAATCGCGGAAGGAACCACTTGTTGGATCGAGTTAATTCGTGACCAATCAGAACCCGGCAATCTGTGTCTGCCGGACGGCCGACCGTCTGATTGGCTGTGATGGGGGGGCTTCGCCGGCGTCGCCGGGCCGGGCGCAGGGGCCAGTACCAGCCGGCCTCCTACTTCCTTGGTGAGGGTTGCGCCACTGGTAGGGGTGCGGAGGCGGGGGGGGGGGGGGGTTCAGTCCCTCGAACCTTGCAGAGTTCAACATTAGGCATAAGCTTCGTATGTAAAGTGATGCTTT